TAGTAGCGTCCTTGCTCCTAGTAGCGATGCCAGGAGCCCCTAGTAGCTTCTTGTTCCTAGTAGTATGGCCAGGAGCCCCTAGTAGCGTCCTTGCTCCTGTGGTGTTGCCTTCTGAAACATGTTGATGAAAGATGGAGGACAGCGTAGCCACCCCTCTGGCCCTCAGAAGTGGCCACGACCCTTTTGACAGCTCAGATTGGGAGCGAACAGCATTTCTAGTGCCCCAATTCACATGGCTCTCAACTGTACATTGGTTCCATGGGAGGCCATCGCTATTAGGTTGGAGGCCATCACTGGTAGGTTGGAGGCCATCGCTCTCAGGTTGGAGGACATCGCTATTATTAGGTGGTACTTGCACTTGAGGGATTGTCAAAGTCGGCTCATTTTGGCCCTTTTGGACCACACGAACCAGATGGAACTACTCAAATTTGTCCCGACAGATTTCCCACCAACTCCCCAAAAATGCAATGAAGCAAAAAAATAGGAGCATCATTATATCCATATATATATATACATATACAAGAAAAGCAAAAGGCAGGTCTAAAGCTTAAAGGTCAGATAAAACGGCGTGCAGCCAAAAGGAACTAACACAAGCAAAAAGAGTTCCACAGGTGGTATAAATAATAACATGTCTTCAACGTCAAGAAAGACATGTCGAAAGGTCTACAGAAAAAGGACACGAGCCCTCTCCATGTCTGAAGAAAAGACAGACAGGCCTAACTAAAGGCAACAAGAAATTGGTATGAAGAACAGAATATCTAAAGGTTTGAAGAGCACGATCTGAAGGTCTCAAGAACAAAGGAAACGGAAGGTGTGAAGGTCTGAACAAAACAGTAGAACAGAATGCTCTAATCAAGGTGTCAGGAAACTGCAAGAAAGGTGTTAGGGCCCGAAGATAAAACAGCAAAGAACTGTCAACAGAAAAGTGAAACGTCATGTCCAATAACAACAATATAAAGCAAGAGATAAACCAAAAAGACAGGTCTGTCAAGGTCCAAAGAAAAAGGCACAGACATGTGTAAAGGTCTAGAGTCTCAAGAAAAGGAGCAAACAAAACAAGCAATGTACCAAAAAAACATATAAGACAGGAGAACGGTCTGAAGGCCACAAGAAAACAAAATAAATTTCTAAACGCCTAAAACATTAAGCAAACAGACAAAGGCAATTGATATGCAAACGCAAGTAAACACACATACAGAAACGTCTAAAAGTCGTCTAAAGATACAAGGAAGACAAACGTCTCAAGACAAGTAACTATAAATGTCCAACGGGCTACATGACAAACAAGATAGCAACACACAAGTAATAGAAAAGACTGGTTTAAAGGTCGAAAGAAAAACAGGCAAAAAGAAAGGTCCAAATAGTCGGAAGGACAAGCAACAGAAGCGTAACAAGTCTTTGTTAAAGACATGACCGTCTTGCAACAAAATGAAACAAGCAAGACGTACAGACAGGTCTGTCAAGGTCGAAAAAGGAAACACCAATTGCAATGACCATGAAGACCCCGTGACTCATTCCACCGTCGCAAATACATTCAATATATGTTTCAGGGCAAGAGAATTGATTAGTAATTAGTAGTAACAAGAAGCCACTACAGTAGTAGCAAGGACGCTATGAGGAGGCCATCGCAACAAGAAGCTAGGAGCAAGGAACACTTCCACTTCCCCCATGACTCCACCGAAAAAGTTTTGAGGATCCTCACTCCCTGAAGTCCAATGAGATGGCTCAGTGCAGCTTCCAACCGCAGCAGCCTTTGGCCTCTCGGATCCTCTCGCGGTTTTGGTTTTCCTTTCAGCGATAGCTCGGAGTCTGGTGGAAGGTCTGCGTGTGGACTTTGGAGCACCTGCAGCTCCAAAAAGTGCTATGTATTGCAACAGCAGTGTATCGCTTGACTTATAGCAGTGCAACTTCTATAATCGTTTTAAAATCATTTTTTAGCTTTTCTTTGTGAACTACTATTTTTTTCAAGGGGGGGTAGGTCGCTAGAGGTAGGTAGCTAGTAGAAGAGGTAGCTAGTAGCTTAAGCAGCTACTAGATCTCCCCGGATCTAGTCACTTGTCCAATCGAAGATGAACATTCCTCTCCTTTCCTCTTCCTCTTTTTGTTTAGGCACATCTTGCCAAACTGTGAGCATGCAGCATGCATGACATAGCGGTTTACTCTTTTGCAGTCCTGTCACAGAGATGAGGATTAAGCAAGTTGATTTTCTACTCGCTACCTGTTGATTTTCTCACAAGTTTCCGGTCAAATGACTGCACCGTTACGACACCGAATCGATGTTGCCCATCCAACGAACAAAATATATATCAGTTGGTGCTGATACAACGGTGGAAGCTAAGCCGCCACCAGATGTTCATGATAGAAGATGTTCATGAACTCTTCAAACGTCTTGTTAGATTCGAGGCCCCATCCGGTTTTTGGAACCCCTTCCTTGGTTCCTTGAAGCCTAGGTGTAAGAGAGGAATGGACCACACTGATGTCTCAAAGCCAGATGTAATCTAGGAACATAAATAAATAGCGTGAGCCATCCTGCGACCAGTTACTAGAAGCTTAAGTAGCTAGTGGCTTACTTCTCATTAAGTAGGCTTCTACTTAATCAAGTAAGGAGGGCCGGGACAACCGGGAGAAAAAAAGAAGACTCCAGTGCCCACATGGGTTGAGAACCGAGGTTTGCGACACCTTCAAGAACTGCGAGGCCGTCCGATGGATTTGCTCTTGTTGACCGAAACATCTCTTGCCATTGGACGGGTCTTTGTTCGGTGTGCGCAATCACCCAAGAAACTCGACCAATACCACGGTTTGGTGCTGGCAAGCTGGTGTGGTGCTGGATTTGGGTCATATCAGGCACCAAGGTAAAATGTGTAGCGAATCAGCTTGTGGATGGTAGCCAGAAACTCATCCCGGCATGAAATTGGTCCAGGTCTTCGAAGGGGCCTTTTGTCACATCTTTTTTTTTCATGTGCGGTCAGAACGGATGCGATGGCCTCCAACCTAATAGCGATGGCTTCCAAGGTCAACTAATTTTCACATCTGCTTGAGAACGGATGTGGTCAGTGAAGAGGGTCGCCCAAATCTCTCCACTAATCTTCCATTGGACCTTGGGATATTTTGGATTTGCCAGGCCGGTCTGCGCACAGCCAAACTCTTTTTGGTGGTCAGGGATGGTTGGCATCAGCTGGAAGTCATTCTTACCATCATCATTGTATTTCCCGTCAGGTGTAACGGGCAAAGGGATGCACAATGAACTATTTTGAGCAAAGGAAGACTTATGTGCCATGTGCAGAAGCACGAACTTTGCAAGTTATCAAATACAATGGACTGGGTCGCGCAGCCCGCTTAATCTACTTGGTGCCTGAGAGCCCTACTCAAACTCGACAGGCCATGCGGCATGTGGGACCCACCCTGGGTGAGGATCATTCCATCTAAATCTAGAGAATGAGGGCTTCTTTGGTTCTGCGCAGCAATTGTCACATGAGATGTTTCCTCTTGAATTTTGCTCCACCACAAACACACGAAATGACCGCAAACTGGCAGAACGTGATTCTGGACTCCTAGTGGATCATTGCGAAAAGAAAACTAGACAACAGGGCGGCAAAAAGAGTAAGAGGATAAGACAGAATCTGGAAAGAAACCGTTTCTCCGAAACAAATCAGATGTGATGACGAATGATGTCATGATATGACATGCGAAGTGATGATGTGAGAATGGTGATGCGTGTGTGTGTGTGTGTGTCTACACCTGTACCAAAGGACACCGACCAGTGCAAGATAATAATTCGTTTTACCTCACTCAGATTTTCAATTCCATTTAACAGGCAGGGGGCACGGCGGCCGTTCACCTAGCTGTGCTAACAAAGCAATGGTGTTCGGCTGGAAGAGATACTGGACGCAGTATCTCGTACCTGCAAAATTTTTAATAGTAGTCATCGGTGATGAATTTTTAAACCATATTGTTCCGGACTCACTCACCTTGCCGTTCCCTCTCAGGGCTGGTTCCCAGGTTCTCAGGCAGCGCTCTAAGCCGGTAATGTATTCACTAGAGTGGGCTACCTTCACTGACCTAGCTCTTGCGAGCATCAATCTAAGTGTGTGTTGTCACAGAGTCCCACTGAGGGCTGTGGTGTGATCCCCGGCGAGGGGCGCAGCATGTGCATAGACCCATTTTGGGGGGATTCTCACTGGCTCTCTCTTGTCCCTCTTATGTGAACTTCACTCTGATTCTCACTGGCTCGTTTGTTCTGCTTGAGATTGCTGATCGAATGCCGCAGGGCCCACTGAGTTAAAAACACTGAACGGATTCTCACATGCTGCTAAGTAGTCACATGCTGCTAAGTAGTCACGGAGCTACATCGACGACATCTCCGACTACAAGTTCGCCTATGCCCGTCTATGCCCGTGATCCAGGCGACATCGTCGACGCCTTCGAGTACAAGTTCAACTATGCCCGTGACCTCTCCGCTCTCCTTTGTCCTCCTCCTTGACGTTCCCATCTCTACCTTTGCCAACACCATCGCCACCACAGTTTGCCCCTTTCCCACACCATGACCCACCCAACATTCAGGACAATCGCATTTTTCTGCCAATCCATTTAACAGGCAGGGGGCACGGCGGCCGTTCACCTAGCCGTGCTAACAAAGCAATGGTATTTGGCTAGAAGAGATGCTGGACGCAGTATCTCGTACCTGCAAAATTTTTGATAGTAGTCATCGGTGATGAATTTTTAAACCATATTGTTCCGGACTCACTCACCTTGCCGTTCCCTCTCAGGGCTGTTTCCCAGGTTCTCAGGCAGCGCTCTAAGCTGGTAATGTATTCACTAGAGTGGGCCACCTTCACTGACGTAGCTCTTGCGAGCATCAATCTAAGTGTGTGTACCCCTTGGAGTCACAGGGATCCAGTCGGATTTTTCAATTTTGCAGGGGGACCATCCATGTACTGTGCGCGATGGTCCAACGAAGCGGCCACACTACATGCGGATATCACGACTGATCACCGTCATTGTGATGTTCGTAACCACGATCCCATTCTAGAGTCTTGGAGGCTGTTTCAGGATGAAGAGGTCTTGCTGCTGTCAAGGGCTAATGCACGTTTCGTCGTCCCTGTCGGTACTCGGCCGTTGTTTTGAACCTTGTTGCAACTTTAGTGACTTGAGCTTTGGAGTTGAACTTTGGACCTTTGGCCTCCTAACGACTAGAGATGATCAGGCCTCCCCGCACCTGACTTTTCAGGAATATGGTTACCTAGGTTGCCGTGTGGCGAGTGGCATTCTGTTCAGTATGCATATCCATAAGTGTGTGTGTGTGTGAGATGTGGACGTTGTGAAACATGACAACTGGCAACCGATGATGATGATGATGATGATGATGAAGATGATGATGAGGACGACGACGACGACGACGACGATGATGATGATGATCAAGAGGACGACGACGACTTCCTCTTCTTTTTCTTCTTCTTCAAAATGAACATGTGAGAATCCATGTGTCTGCGTCCAGACTCAAAACATCTCCTTCTCTCCGTCCACGTTCTTTCGCCATGTTCACCACAGGACTGTGCCGATGAAGAGACTGGCTAACACTCATCATACCGTCCACCAGAAGCACGTCGCATGAAGACACCAGCAACCCCCTTAACAAACCGCCAATGGCACGGGTACGGCGCCACGCACGCACAGTCCACAGAGGCTCCAAGCTGGGCAGAGGGACATCACAAGTGCAGTTTCGTTAGCCTTAACCATAAAACAGATGCAGCGTTGCAGGAACAAGATTCGCACCACCACTTGCCACCAGGTTTTGGTTCCACACCTGCATTCATACGCCTGTATGTACACCACCCGTATCATGCATATATAGCATTGATTAAAGTTTGAAACACCTTCATGATGATGCCCATGATGATGATGATGGTGATGATGACGACGACGACGACACTGCTGACTTGAAGATGCTGAAGACGAGGAAACGGAAAATTGATTTCACAACAGCAGTTGTTTACGAAGAGCCCTTTGCAGAAGCTTTCTGGAAGAGTAAAGGTTCAAATCGATTGGAAACGACAAGAAACAACAGAAAAACAACACAGATGTTCTATGAACTTTAGGACATCCTTTTTTCCTGTGTATGTATATGAAAACCCTATAGCTAAAGACCCTGAAGGTGTTCCCACCGCCATCTCGCCCTCAGGGTTTGTCGCGTGTGGCTTTCATGGATGGCAACGGTGTGGTGATGTTGGGCAAAGTCGTCAGCTGCGAGCGCAAGGGCGAAGGTCTCTTGGCACGGCGAAGGTCTCTCGATTCGCTCGCGGCGATGCTCGGAACTCGGTTTGGTGATCCACACGGGGGGGTTTCTGTTTTCCACGTCCGTTTTCGGCGAAGTCACTCTGAAGGTTTTCACGTCCTTTTGCAGGACGGTGCGTTACGTGAAGGTAAACTCACTGGAAAACTACACCAGTGGAAGAGGGTCAAAACCCGCAGGGGTCCATTGCCACACCGCGCACACATCCGCAATAGCCTGCGAAAGTGAACACCCACCATGGCAAAAACATCGGACAATAATAATAGGTACTGCATATACGAAAGGGGTGAAGAAAGCCTTTACGGTTGTTTGTTCATGACTCATATATGGATACCCTAGAAGTCCAAAGACTATATTTTGACGGACTGAAACAAGGGAAATGCCTTTTTGGGTTACCCAAAGACCATTCTTTTTCTAGTCTTTGACTCCCAGGGTATATATATTCTGTACTCAATCCCATGCGAGTTTGAACATCCTTTGTGGGATTGCTGCCTCTTGATTTTTTTGCCACAATTTCTCAAGGAGCATTGCAACTCTGCCCACTGAATTGTGTTCTCACTCCCCGAAACCGCGAAACACGCAATGGCCGGCCTTTTCGTGAAAGATGAACAGCTCAATCTCATTGGTTTTGCCTTTTTGGCAAAACCATGGCGTTGAAGCTTAGTTGTATGGCCATCAGTTGTTGCAAAACCCTCGCCGGCTTTCAGAACAAACCTTCGCTGCGAACAGTTGTTGTACAACAGGAGATAAAAAGGACCTCTTTTTTTGCGCCAAGGTCAACAAGGGTGGTCCGTCCAAGCGGCGAAACGACCGCTCGTTTTGATTCACGATGTCCGGGCACAATTGCAGTGTCTCCGATGGGGCGGTTTTCATATTGATATGGGCAGTCTTTAACATGGAGCAGGATGAACGTCCGACAATGACTGAACACCAATGAGAGAGAACGTCCGACCTCAACGGTTTCATTTCGGAATCGAGACTGCCGTCGAGGTGATGACAAGGGCGGCAAGAAGAAGTGAAGAACGTTGAGCCGTGATCACTTCGACCGCCCGTTCCACTTCACCGTGGAATGCCCTGACTCTTCTTGCGACGATCGGTCGCGTTTCGCGATTTTGCTCCGAACCGCCGGAACTGCCGCGGAGCGATCACCGTTGCTGTCTGGGCTGGACAGCCGCGACGTGGGCTGGAGACGGATGAAGAGAAAAGGCAGAGCAGGGCTGAGCAGGGTTGAGGGCAATTGGCTTTTTGGGTTACATGTGCCTGGAAACCAAAACAAGAAAGACATGGTTGTTTTCCGCAGCCATTTCCTATATTACATGTGTACGGACAGACAAAGAGTATCATTCCATTCCATTCCAGCGGTGCTTGAAACGGAGTCACTCAGGTAAATCTTTGGATTGGCTGCGTAAGAGTGCCCTGGGTGGAAGTGGTGCAGTGGCTGGATTCTAGTGATGCAGGATGTGCATGGATGTGCATCATCAGTAGCCAAATGATATTTGTCAGGTTTCAAGCATTTTGCTAGGAATTATAGGAGCCTTGACGGACCCTCCCAATTTCCGCATGTTTTCAACCCCCAGCTCAGCCTCACCCAGAGCACCCGCAGCTCGTCCTCATGGGCCTTTTCACCGCAAGACGTCACGGCTCCAAGTCACGGCGAGTTCACGTCGTGGGCAGACCAAGGACTTGTCGACTGGTCCTCCTAGGTGGTTCGGACGCTACTAGTAGCTAAGGGCATCGATCGTAGCTTCTTGTTCCTATTAGGAATGGCCTCCAGCCCAATAGCGATGGCCTCCAACCTAGTAGCGTCCTTGCTAGTAGTAATGAGCCAATAGTATTATGAAGTATACGATTTTCACCAGCGAGATGAGATGCGAAGCCCAGCACGTTCGCCGAACATCGCGCCTTCTCCGACACAGTGTTGATGGATGTTGATGGGGCCATGGAAGATAAGCTATGGCTTCACCCAAGACACTGGACTGGAAGGCCTGAGAGCAACGGGTCGATTTGGGGCTGTTTCACAGGTCGAAAAAGGGTGAAAAACGGGTCTTGGCCTCCAACCTACTAGTGATGGCCTCGGCTTCAAGCCGGGTGCTGACTGGATGACGAGAGGGCGAGCACGGCAACCGATGTCGGCGTATTTGGACAGGTGGAGCATGGTTACCGGAGACAACAACGAGCTGCACGGAAACAGCTCCTTTGCACAAAGTCCAAAGACGAAGGGGTCCGTTTCCACTGTGGACAATTCCCACATTGAGATGCGAGAAACCCCAATCAAGTTCAAATTTGGCCAGTTGACACTGAGACCTCCAAAGCCCACCACACTCGACCGACGCCATCGCAGGTCCTGCGAAGCCTTCTGTGGCCAAGGGCGACGGTTCGAGGCACTGCAGCAGGCACGCAGTGGGTGGTTTTGGATCGATTCCTTTTGAAGAAAACATATCACAATTTTGCGGAGCTTCTGTTTCAAGAACGAACAAGAAGACAGGTCACAGCACGGTTTGAGGTTCCTTTGGAGCTTGATTTGGGCTGACGGTAGGGTTGTATAGGGACTTCGAGGGAGGAGCAAAAAGTGATAGATACTGACAATGAAAGTGCATTTCCCTGTTTTGAGTTGAAAGGTCGTAGGAAGCTTCAAGTCAGTGGGAGGATCCTTGAATTCAATATATAACTAGTCGCCCCATGGTATTCACAACGACAAGTCCATTTTTGCTGCGGGTTCAAGCGGTGGTCAACTGTGGATATACCCGCAGGCTTGCAAGCTTAGGGATTTGGGGAAGGGCACTATCTGGGCGTCAGACACCAACTTGCATGACACACACACACATATATAGATAGATAGATAGATAGATAGATAGATAGATAGATAGATAGATAGATAGATAGATAGATAGATAGATAGATAGATAGATAGTTAGATTAGATTAGATTAGATTAGATTAGATAGATTAGATAAGATAGATAGATAAGATAAGATAAGATAAGATAAGATAGGATAGATAGATAGATAGATAGATAGATAGATAGATAGATAGATAGATAGATAGATAGAGAGATAGACGGATAGATAGATAGATAGATAGATAGATAGATAGATAGATAG